ACTAGATTAAATTATTCATATTTCAGATCATCGCAGTCCTGTAAAAATTTGAGGATGAAAATCAGAGAATTCTAAGAGTAGTAAAAGAAAAGAAAAGAAAAAGGAAAAAAAGGAAAAAAAAATTTTTTAAAACTAAAAAAAAAAAAAACTAAAAAAATTTAATTCTAATTTTTTGTTACGTCACTTGAAAAAGTGTCGACCATTTTGTTTTTTCTGCCGCCTTAACATAATTAAATGCTAATACTGTAATTAATTAATTAATTTAAAAAAAAAAAAGAAAAAAGAACAATCGTAACTTTAATAATCTTTTTTTTGGAAAGAAGAAAATGAAAAGAAAATGGTTTCGCGTGATGTGTGCTGCACGTGGGAGATGGTCCCGGACACGATGGAAAAACGAAGAGTAAAGAAAGAAAGAAAAAGAAAAATTGTGTATAAATTACAAGCATATAATTAAAAATAATCGCTTAAACGCTTTTCTTTTTTTAATTGTGTAAAATAAAATCCCCAGGTTCGGGTTTCAAAGATGGATGGATGAATGAATGGATAGATAGAGAGACAGGCAGGGAAACGAAAAAAAATTAATTTTTTAATATAAATGCTTTGGCGCGATCATTATTATTATTATTATCATCTTTTAGAGAAATTAAACACGAACCCGATTTTAAATAACTTAAAATAATTCTTTATCACGTGTTTTTCCCAAAAAAAAAAAAAAAAAAAAATAGAAATTAACGTAGATGAATTTGATGTGGAATATGGTCGGTGTTTCTTTATTGTTGTGTCGAAAAGTTATTATTAAAATTATTATTAATTGAATGATGGACGACTGATGTAATGATGATGATGATGATGATGATTGTTTGTTTGTTTGTTTAGTTTCCCGTTTGTTCACATTTTTTCTACTCGTATGATTTCTCTCTCTCTCTCTCTCTCTCTCCATCTTTCAAAAAAAATTATTAATCCGCACATTGAATCGTAAAAGTAGATTTGTGAATAATTTATTATTATTATTATTATTAAATATTTGTAATAGTTTTTGAATTTTCTATAATGATAATAATAGTGATATGATGATGATGATGATGATGGTTAATTTAACTGCTACTAAATTTAATAAATAATAACAAAAAAAAAATAAATAAATAATATTTTAATTTTAATCACTCACTTATACGACATCCGGCATGATTTATTTTATTATTATTATTATTATTATCCACCCGCTTTTTTTTGTACTTAAGTATTAATTATTATTATTATCATTTTATTAATTTTTCGAATCGGATTGTTAAAGAAATATTAAAAAAAAAAATTAATCGAGTTCCCTCCCTTTTTTTCCCTTTATTTTTTCATAACTTTGACAACGCGAACGAATTCGATGATAAATCAATTTTAAAAATAAAAATTTTTATAAATATATATATTATTATTGATTGATTGATTATTTATTTATAAATAAAAATAATGATAATGATAATAGTAATACTAATAAAAGGAAGGTGTGTGTGTGTGTGTATTTATTTTTAATTTTCTAAATTATAATAATAATAAAAAAAAAACGTTTAAGAGAATGATAAAATAATTAAAAGAAAAAAATGTTTCATTTTAATAATAATAATCACACAAGTATCATTATTATATCTCTTTTTCTTTAACTTTTTTCTTTCTTTCATTTATTTAAATTAATTTTACATTAAATTTATTTATACGTACGAAATAAAAATAAATAAATAAATAACTTTTTAATTAATTGTAATAATCATAACTTTAATTATTATTATTAATAATTTTTCCATAACTTATTTTTAATTCGTGACGATCTGAATAAAAAAAAAAATAAATAAAAATAATAATTTATCTAATTTTTTTAAATTTTATTTTATTTTATTTTATTAAACAAAAGGAAAAACAATATTTAACCCTTACAAAAAAAAAGGTGATTTTGTCTAACTTAATTAATATTTACCTGCTTTTTGTGACCTATAAAAATCTTTTTTTATTTTTTTCTTATTTTTTTTTATAAATATATAAATATAAATATAAAATAAAATTGTTTTTGATATAATTAATTGAATAATTTTTTTTTTTTTTGTTTGGATTTTTGAATGGACAATATGGCGGAATAATTAATTAATCGATTGATTTTAAATTTTTTTAAATAACCTCCTCCATTTTAATTAATAAATATTTGAAAACGTAGTAGGCGTTATGCTAAACATGGTTAAAATAGGTTTTTTTAAAATAAAAAAAAAAGAAAATTTTGTATTCTTAAAAATGGTGATCATACTAAACGCATTATATTTTTTTTTATTAAAAAAGTTTAATTTAAAAAAATATTAAGTTTAATTTTAAAGAATATTAGGTTGTATAAAGTCGTAGGACGTATTCGACGACGCGTTGTTGTTTTTAAAAATCAGGTTTTTTTTTTTTATACGTAAATAATTTAGTTTTAGTTTGTAGTGTTGGGTAGGAATGAAAAATAATTATGGAAAAATATATATTTATATATATAAAAGATTTGGATTTTATTAACGTTCGTTTGAATGATTTAATGGTGAGAAACAATAAAAAAATTTCGTTGGAAACGCACACACACACACGCTTCGCTTAGTAAAAATTGGTGCGAGAAAAAATTTTAGCGCGAAAAATGCCTCGACGTAAACGGTACGTAACGCGAAGTCATTTTGTTGACTTGATTAGTTCAAAAAAAATCCGCTAGAGTATTTGAAACGAACGAAGCTGGATTCACTTCCTATTATTATTTTTTTTAAGTTTTTTTTTTTTTTTTTTTTTTTTTTTTTTTTAATTTTAATTTTAATTTTAATTTTATAGTAAAATAATTCATACATATTTACACACTCGTAACATTATAATTTAAAACTTGTATATGTGTTTAATTAGAAAATATATATTTTATTTAAATGATATAATGTCTTAGTTAAATATTTAAAAAATATATATATATATAAATATATATATATATATATTTATATATTTTATAAATGTATAGAAAATTGAATTGAAATTTTAAAAAATCGTAAGTAAGCATTTTACTTTGGTTTTAATTTAGGGGTAAAAAAAAAAAAAAAAAAAAAAAAAAAAAAGTTGTAATCTCTTGACCTCATATAGCAATGGCGTCCGTTTTATTGTTCTGGTATATGAAATCATCATTAGTTTATTTCGTATATAATGTAAATTCTATTAAATCACGGTTATAAATTTTTATTTAAATCAATATGAATATTTTAAATTTAAAAAATTGTTAGGAAAAGTGGCAACGAATAATCCCCATATAATTTTATTTATCACCGAGGTCGAAAATAATACATATATATTTTTTTAAAATCATTTATTATTATTATTATTATCGTGTGTGAAATTAATTTAATTTCGAGTAAATATTATTATTATTAATCGGGAATTAAATATATTTTTTTGTTTGAAATTTAATTTTAATGGCGTTAAAAAACAATGAAAATTACCTGTGATTAATGACTTTTTTTAGATAATTGTGGAGGTGGCTGTAAAAAATATTTTATATTTTATTTTATTTATTTATCTATCTTTTATTTAATAAAATATATATATATATTTATAATTTAACTTTAATAAAATAATAATAAAAATAATAATATTGAATACACTTTAATAAGCATATTTAAAATTATCATTATGTAGCACATTATTTATGATTTATTATAGGCAAAGAAAAAAAAAAAAAAAACAAGGAAATGATTTTCAATTAATTTTTCATAAGAAAATTACTAATGTGGTAATAAAATTTTTTACTTAGTTTTTAGTTTATAATTTTTATTTTTAACATGCATGTTTTTATTTATTTATTTTTTTTTGGGGGGGGGGGTGGAAAAAGGAAAGAAATTTTTTATCATTTGTTTCGTTATTGATTTGTAATCGAATTGTGGTTTCTTATTAAATTATTTACTTTAATTAAATAATATTTAATATCACAATTTAAAATAATATTAATAATAATGATGATGATGATGATGATTATGAAAATAAACATTAAGGTTTTAATTTTATTTTTAATTTTTTGTTATCGTTTTTTTGTGTAATAATTTTTTTAAAGAAATCGAAATGTAATTTGGGTCAACTCGTTTATTACATAAATTTCTAATTTTATTATAAATTAATTTATTTATTTTTAATATATATATATATATATAATTAATGTAGGAAAAAGTAAAGTATAAGTAAAGTAGGAAAAAGTCATGGATTAAAATAAATTTAGGATTTTATCAGGATAAATTGTTACACACATTTAATTAAGTTTATTCGAGTGATGTGATTTGTGAACTTTCGTTATTACATTTATTCACTTTTTTTTAATACAAATATTGATAATTTGTTATTGTTCATCGTTTATAATTAATTATTTATTTGTTTTCAGATAGTATAATGTCAAGTCATCGAAACCAGTCCCACCTTCCAGTAATTAAACAAATAGACTTGGATCAAATATGGGGGGATTTGAAAAAGGGAATAGAACAGGTTTATAGTCGTCAATGTATGTCAAAATCTAGATACATTGAACTTTACACGTATCCTTTTTTAAAAATATCAACCTTTATTTATTTAAATAATATATATATTTTAAATTTTATTTGTCACATTAAATGTTGATGTGTGTGTG